TTTAATAAATTTTATTTATTTATTTATTAAAATATATCTAATATCTAAAAACATAATAAGTGTAAATGAAAGTTGTACCCATAATTTATGTGTGTTTTTTCCGTTAAGTTTTTTTTTGTACATTATGCTATAAAGGTTGTACATTAAAATATTTTGGACAAACATACTCCTAACGTTATAACTTCCGTTATCTTTTCCACTATTGTTACCATGCACATGCATCCACCGTATATTTTCTTATGTTCTTCATTAATAATAATATATACACATTAAATATTTGAGTTATATGTTAATTATTACATAAATAAATATCAAATTTATAAAAATGATTTACATTATTATTATTATTATTTAGAATAATTTAAATATCTAAAATCTAAATAAATTTAAAATTTTAATATAATGTATTAATATTGGGCACCTATTTTTTGCGCATCGTGCATAAAAAAATACTAGTATTATATATAAAAATTAAAAAAAATTAAAATTAAAAAAAAAAAAAAGTAGCGAGGACAGCTAGTATTTCACGAACAGCCGTGGCTGTCCGACTGATGGCTTCAACACCTCTGCTTCTCCAACGGGAAAGTGCTCGCATTGATTGTGCGATGATGCTTGTAAGAAAGAGCTTGAAAATGTATATTTATTGGTTGCATTATTTCATTCGATTTGTGAGAGCTTCTATGGCCGATTGGCGAAGATAGCGCAGACGCAACCAGTGCCCGTTGAGCATTTGAGAGTCATGGCCTCATGGGAGATTTGGACAGCCGGTGGCTGTGTTTTTAGTTTTATTTTTAATTTTTATATATAATATATATTTTAATAAATAAATAAAATTTATAAAAAATTAAAAATAAAAAAATATATTTTATAAAGACATGTGTCAAACCATGTGTAAAATTTAACCTATTAAACAAGTCACTTTAAATTTAATTGAACAATTTTACAGATTTAAGATATTTAAATGAGACTTTTTTTTTTTTAAAATTAAGGGACTCAATTGTACTATCCGATCTACTTAGGGGTTAATTTGACATTTTTTCTTAAAATTTAAGATAACACATTATCCAAACACAAGAAAATTTCAAATATTAATGAAAAATTAAAGCAATGGCAGCATATAATGTATGAAATTCCTTCTGATTTTAATATGTAAAAAAAATAAAAAATTACCTTATAGTGATTGGCTGAGGGACGTCTGGGGCGAGCTGTAGGCCGGAGGACCGTCGTGGCGTCTTGCGTCACTGCGTCGGGCAAAACCAGAGAACCGCCGTGCGCCGCGCAAAACCGGAGAACCGTCGAGCAAAGAGATCGGAGACTTGAAAAGCAGACCGGAGAACTGTCGATTAGGGAATGATTTATGAATGGTAGAAATTCTGGGATTATGGGATTTAGGGCTATGTTTTTGTTTTTTGTTTTTGTTTTTGTTTTTTTTTTTTTTTTGTTTTTTGTTTTTTTTTTTTTTTGTTTTCTATTTTGTATTTCATTGTTCTCAAAAGGTGAAATCTCCAATCCAAGGCCTTCACGTTCCGACCCGATAGCGCATTTATAGGGCGTTTGTTGGAGATAGGGAATTACGTGGGAAAGGAATTGCAATTCCATAGGAGATGAATTACTGGGAATAAAGTGGGAATTTAAATTCCAGTGTTTGGTTTACATGAATAGAATTACTAGGAATTTCAATTCCAATGTTTGGTATACATGGGAATTGAAAGGGAATAAGTAGTATAAAATCAAAAATGTTCATCGATGTTGTTAGACATTAATTTTATGTTAAAAAAGAAGAGATAATTTTGACTCATCACTATCTTTTTTTCTCCCTAAAATCTCAGGAATTAAAATCACAGGGGGACATGGGATTTTAATTCCATAAAAATGGGGAAATTGCAATTCCTTTCAACCAAACAAAGGAATTTTGTGGCCTTTGGAATTAGGTGGGAAGGGAAAAATAACCTTCAACCAAACGCCCTGTTAGGAGAATATAAATTTCAGCTAAACGCAAAGACTAAACCTTTGTTGGTGAGACTTGATCCCAGCTCATTATTCCCGAACTTCACCCTTGTGACCAAGAGCTGCCCATGCAAGCTTCTATTTTGTATTTCAATATATGGCATTTGGCTATTGGATATTTGGATGGGCATATATATATATATATATATATATATATATATATATATATATATATATATATATATATATATATATATATATATAAATTTTGGTCCTATGACTATTGGGGTCTTATTAATTGCAATCCAAGATTTTTAAATTTGTTAATTTTGTACTTTAACTATTCAATTTTTATCAATTTTGGTCACTCTAGTCAAATTGCAGGTCAAATCTCACCTGAAAATATTAATATGTAAAATAATATAGTTACACTAATAAATATAAACGTATACATTATTTAATTAATTTAAACCTCCATTTTTAAATTTCAACTAAAAATAACTAATATACTTACACTATAATATAATATTTACAGTAAGTTTTTAATTTTTCATTATTTATTATTAATTTATTATAACAATAAATTATTTTGTAATTTATTTATTAAAAATTTATTTAAAAATGTGATAAAAATACTAAAGGTGAACTTACCTATAAACTCCATGTATGATATGTTACACATCACTTCTATAATAAAGAATAACTCTCAGTAGTTTGGGTTATCGAGCTAGACCTATCGAACCATCAGGCTTATCGATTTCGGGCTTATCTGACTAGCCCTTTCGAGCTATCGACCCGTCAATTTTGGTTTTATCAGGCTAGCTAATCGGGTTCGGGCTAAGATTGACATCCCTATATATATACCGGTGAAGTTGTGGTGTGATAATCAAGCTGCTATATACATTTCAAACAATCCTATTTTTCATGAGTGAACTAAACATATTGAGGTGGATTGTCACTTTGTGCGGAACAAGATTCAACAAGAGTTACTCTCTACAATGTATGTCAGAAGTGGTGATTAGCTAGCAGATCTGTAAATGAAGGGGCATAGTAGGGACGGAGTGGAGTGTATTTGTAACAAGTTGGGTATGGTCAATATTTATGCCGCACTAGAGGGGGAGTGTTATAATAATTGGGAAGGAGTAGTTAGAAACTCTTTAATTTTTAGAATTTAGTGGTTGACCGTGATTGTCTTAACATTGGGTAAAATGTCTTCCAAAGATCACGATTCAATGCATTGCACCACTTTCTACTTAAGACTCTTCATTGCATCTGAACAAGGAGAGCTTGATCTATTTCCCCTCCATTCCCCTTGATTTTTACTTGCTTGCTTACTTGCTTTCCCTTTTACTTGATGATTTTCTTGATAGTCTTGAGACCTAGCTTCTTGATGCCTCTCTACCCTTGTGCTTAGCCTGTTAGCCACACTTTACTCACTCTCATGTGCCATCCTTGAAGACAACATCCCATGAAAGCTTCAACTTCCTCACATTTCTTTCCATCCACCGCACTCTACAAATTAAATTGTAAGAAGTTGCAGTTGCAGACGACTATGGGATTTGATTGGAATTCCCTGTAAGCATGCATTGTCTGCCATCTGGTTGAAACATGGCAAGAGACCAAGTTTTGATTATGTGCATCCATGCTATAGAACAAACACCTATCTCAAGATATATGCAGGTACAAAAAAAAAAAAAAAAAAAAAAAGAAGAGATATATGCAAGTTTAATAAAGTCAATGGCAGCCCTTGAAGAATATAATGGCCTTTAAGTGACATGGATGAGTTTTCAAAAGATAAAGAGAAAGTCGCTAGGACACATATCAAGTTACATTGTGCTAAATGTAGGAAACCATGACCTAAGCTACATAAACAGGTAATTTATTTGTTTATTCAATATTCAATGTTCAAAATTTGCAGAACCCACCTAATTAATTTGACATTTTATTTCTTTTGTTTTGTTACAAAAATTAAACCAATGAAAAATGTAGGAAATGAATCGCATGTCATGTATTAAGTGAAGAAATCCAGGCTATCATTAATAAAGTTGTAGTCCATGTTTAGAACACAAATGGTGAGATGCAGAATCTAGAATTAGTTGATGTTATTCAGATACCAGTTAGTGAGTATTAACTAACTTGTTTTGATCATTTTCTTTTTTATTCATAATTTAGTGTACATTGCAAATGCTTTAGAAAGTGAACATATGGAAGGACAGGATGGTGTTTTGGTGGAAGCAGATATTTTGACACAGGATGCTGTTGACTTTGGAATGTTTGGAGAACCAAAAAAGAAGGTTGTGAAAAAACATTGGACTAGATCAAGATGTCAATTGAATTCTGTTTTTTCATGGGAACAATGAAGATCCAATCAACATAGATTGAAAATAGGCCTACTAGTTAATGTTGTAGACTAGTTGATGGTTAAGATATTTTTCATTGCATTTTTTTTTTTTAGATGTTGACAGTGTTTTGGTTAGATAGGGAATGGATACATTTTGTTTTAATATGGATAATCTTGATAGTGTAATCTTGACAGTATTGTGATCCAAAATATATTGTCAAATTGTGCATTCCAAATGGATAATAATGTTGGATCTCAGCGTTGCACTATGCTGACTTCTTAGTTGGTCACATATCTTGTGACTGCTGTAAGTCATAAGTTAAGCACATTTAACTACAGAGTTTTTGATTATCTAATTGTCATATTCTACTTAAATCAATTGGTGATAAGTCATAGCTCCACGTCTCGAATTTAGCGAGGACTGAACTCGCCAACCCGATCGATGCCCAACAACAATGTAACGATTCTGCTTAGTCAAAATATTGATAGTATTATGAAATTATCCATGTAGGTGCATTCAAAAATCATTAAGCAAAATATTGACAAAATTTTTAAGCAAAATGTCAGAATAATGTCAATAAGCAAATGGATAACAATATTGTATAAGTGCAAACTTGAAACTTCCAAATGGATACAAAATTGATAGAAAAGTTCATAAATTTGATAATACTAAATGGATACAAAAGTTCATTAACTGCAAACTTGAAACAACAAAAGCTAAAACTACAAACATTTCGATTACATTAATTGCATCAAACTGACTTCACCATATTTTTTTTTTTGAAATTTTAAACAACACAATACCTTACACAACTATTACTAAAACTAGATATAGGCTTTTACTGCACTTAAACTTCCAATGAGCTTCATTGTCAACTCTTGCCTCCCCATATTTAAGCTTCAATTCATCTCAAGTCTACTAATTTCTTCTTATTGTTAGTTTAATCATTTTAGTAATTCTGGGATAATTATATTTTATTTGCCCTCTTACATATTGGAGGATCAAACCACTCCATATATCCACAACCTCCATTGTCCTGCGAATTAAGTTACAAATCACATTACATAATTCATTTATAATTAAAAAAAATATTAATTAAGAATTTCTTACCCCATTATTTGGGCACTGCCAAAACTTTCGACCTAGGTTATTGTTTGTCCATGAAGTGCGCAGCTTGACTTTTTGGCCACAATAACAATGTTTTACTGGAATACATTCACCAAATTCATAATAGCTCCAATGGCTATAAGAAGATGATAAAATTGACATTAGTGATTTTTGAATGGACAATTTCGCTCACCTTTTGCTTGGAATTTGGGTTGGACAATGACCAAATCTGACTTGTTAGGTAGAATCGATTGAAGCTTCATTGAGATTTTCTTTTTGGGTTAACGCATAGAAATAGAAGAAAGGGGGAGGAAGAACCGGAACAAATAAATGAAAGAGGAAAAAAAAATCACACTTCTAAATATTAAAATACCATTTCAATTTGAACATATTATTTTTCTCGTTGAAATTCAGGCAATAGTTAACTAGGAAGTTAGATGATAGGACCAAATGTAATACAAATTATATAAACATGTATTTAATTAAAAAATAGAGTTAATACCCAAAATAGTCCTCCGACTATTAGCTAATACTCGATTTTGTCCCGAAAAATTAAACGTACTCGATTTAGTCCTCTTAGTTTTCAAACGGTACCCAATGTGATCCTCCGTTAGAATTGTCATCTATCCACTGTTATTTTGAAGGGCATAAACGTTATTTTAGTTGATAAATCACATTTCTTTGGCGAGCATGAGGTCATTCGCCTTGTTCTCGGAAGTGTGGGTCCCTAGAATAACCTTCTGGACTGAGTAATCCTTCCCAGGTGGCTCTTCCCACCGTTCCAGGTCGGGAAGCCATTCGACAGTAAGCACAAGCCACTCAAGCGCGTGAGGTGATAACCAGATCATCATAGAGAAACAGAGTATTCTTCTTCCAAATTAAATCTCGTACTCCTCGTTAATTTGCCTCTCCTCTAACTCACCCCTCATCTCGTCACCGTCTTTCCCCATTAAAACAACTCCTCAGTTCAGAGAACCGGCGCTGGCCACTGAACATTTATAATAATTTGCATGTATCTGGATAGAAATTTAGAAGCAGCAAGTAGTTTTTTACTCTTATAACAGTGAAAGCTTAGCAATTTCTTTTGACCTAGGGAGGAGATTTTGGCCATAACGTCATCCCATAGCTTCTCCAGCAATTTTTTTTTTTTTTCCTTTCCCTACTCTAAGTTCAATTATGTTTCCCCATTTTTGAAAATTTTGAGGGAGGAAAGGAAAACTGAAAATTGGTGACGGAGTTTTGTGTCACTGGCCCGTGAAGCTTCAGACCTGAAACCACATTAACAAGCTTAGATCTCTTGAAGAGAGAGGGAGTCAGAGAAGAAAATAAGCGGTGGAGCAGATTTCTCCCTTTTATTTTTATTTTAGGGCGAAGGCAACATATCGACGAAGGCAGCCTCCACTAAACTTCGATGATCTGCTGCTGCATGTGTTGAGACGGAGAGATGCTGCAGCGAGTCGCAGTGATGCATGTCGAAACTGTGATTTTTTTTCCTTCTTTCTTCAGATAGATTGAATTTCTCTTTTCTGATGATTAGAGGAACACATTGCCATTTGATAGTCTAAATTGCTTCAATGTTATATTGTGTGTGTAGAAATTGGCTTAAGGAAGCCTCTTTTATTAAGTGTCTTGTCAAGAGAGTGGAGAGGAATTCTAAGTGTTGTAGGGAGAGAGAGAGAGAGAGAGAGGAAGAGGAAGACCACTCCGGCAGATCCAGCCCTCACCGGTGTCCCTCCCCCATGCGAACCCCCAGCCGTTCGCAATCCGAGACCACGAGACGAAGCATCGCCAGTGGCCGTAGCTATTGTCTCACTAGAGGGCTGACGATTTGGAAATAACTCAGACGAACAGGAAGCCGCCACCGTCTGTTCCATTACCAGACTCCTCTGCACGCCGGGTATAAGTCAAACGAAGAGAGGGCCTCCATCGACGTTGACCAGAGGAAGAAACTTAGTTTGGACCAAGTAAATAGACTTCTTTGCCCTCAAAATAACGGTGAATAAACGATAATTGTAACGAAGGACCACATTGGGTTTGATTTAAAAGTTAGAGGACTAAATTAAGTACTTTTAATTTTTCGAGACAAAATTGTGTATTAGCTAATAGTCGGAGGATCATTTTGGGTATTAACTCTAAAAAATATTAATATACTAAATACGATTCGTGTATAATAATCCTGAACCAAAACGTTATGCGGAGTAATATAATTTCACATGTACTATTGAGTCTTATCCACAATTTTTTCATTTTTTAATTAGGTGAAAAAGTTGGAATTTCCTACGTAATGAACAACTTGTGTACTTTTGAGTCTTATCCACAATTTTTATTTTTATTTTTTAATTACGTGAAAAAGTTGAAATTCCCTACCTAATGAACAACACGTCTTGAAATGATATAGCTATCGTAAATTTGCCATAGGACACGAGAATTTGGGACAAATTCTACATTTGTACTTAAATGGACACGGAGTACGGAGTGTCTAGGCGGGGTTCCCCATGCTGACGTAATTTGTCAATTTTGTTTTTTTTTTTGAGAAATTTGTCAATTTTGTTAGAGCATCCACACTAGTAGTTATTTAGGAGTTATTTTTACATGAATTCTCTCCACTCAAAGTTAATAGCTGATGTGCGAAGGAGTTATTTCAAAAATATTTCTTATGCAAAGTATGGTATATTTGTGGTCCCAATAAGTAAGAGAAATAATTAAAATATAGTGAGTTAAATGGTGGGTGCATAAAAAACTGAGAAATAACTCAAAATTGATGTGGAGAAGGGTTTTTTGTAATTGAATGAGATGATAGAGGATGAGGTGGATGCTGGGACCCACAAATAACTGAGAAATAACCTCAACTGATAAGGATGCTCTTAAATTAAAGATTTAAAGTATCTCTCATAATTATAGTTTTTAAAAATTTTTGCAGGTATAATTAGGAAACAGAATATGATAGAAAAAATAAAATTAAAAATTAGAAAAAAAAGTTTGACGCGCCCTGGGTACAACTTACAAGATTTGTCTCCCACGCGAGACGGTGCTTTTATTCTTTTTTTTAGTGAGACTTACAAGTTGACAAAAACTTGGATTACCAAGTTTCTTCTCTCTCCTTCACATAAACTTATTCTCTTCAAAAACTTATCCAAAATGTACGATGGATAAGGATGCTCTTAGGAAAACCATAAATGTATTCTCATAGATTATAATTCATGTCATATATATAAATATATAATTTTTATTGGGTAAAAAATAAATTAATGAATAAAAACATTTTTTTTAATCAATTAGAGCACGACACTTCATCTGGAAGTAAAAAAGGAGAGTAGATTTAGAATTACTCAAAAGATTTATCGCAATTATAGTCTATAGAGCTATAGAAGTAATGATTCGTTCACTAATCCATTCTTTCATCTATTTTTAAGCCTGCCTGTCGTTTAAGCGAATTCAAACGGGACACTTATCTGATTCTATTTAATTCATCAGAAACGCGAAGGACCCAAATCTGATTCCATTGAATTGGAGATTTCAGCTCTGTATTATTCAAGATTGAGGTATTTGAAAACTCTGGGTTGCTAATAAAACTTTCTCTTCGTTGTTGCATTGCTTATACTTTCTTGATGGAGCTAAACAACCCTTTATTCGTTTTCTGGACTAGCAACCTATTTCTTGAATCATTGTGGTGTATTAAGTTTTTGGGGGACTTGTTTCTTTCTGCTTTGGATATTAATTATATCGAATTCCATGCCCTTTGGGTTATGCTTGTATATCTGTTTTCTATTTGGTTATTATCTTAAGATTTTTATTGTTGCTTCCTTCAGATAATTTGGTGTACTTCATGGCATCAAGAGCAGGCGATTCGATTAAGCCTCGAGGTTTTAAAATTTTCTTTGTTGAATCTCATGACCCTTTACAACGTTCCTTTCAAGTTCCTGACCAATGAATTGTTTCAGTACAGTTTTGATCAATGATTTATGATTAAATGAGAACCACCCTTAGGTGATAACGTGAGAATCAACATGGATGCACGCAATCTACTACAAAAATGCACAGAAATTATACTCCAGTTAGATTGTGTGCGTTGTGTGCCTGGAATATTAGATTGTGTGCATTCATGTACAAGTTCGCAGGTTCTCACGGGGAAGGGGTTCTCATTGGAAGGTCACTCGATTGTGAATTTACTCACCCTTTAGTTTAGGAAATAGTTTTACGGGAGGGTGTCTTTGCTTATGAATTCACTGATTGAAAAGATCGAAATTTTAACACAAAAGTTCTAAATGTCGAATTCCAGATGTATGCATTGTTGGTGTTGCTCGAACACCAATGGGGGGCTTCCTTGGTTCCCTCTCATCTTTATCTGCTACAAAGCTTGGTTCTATAGCTATCAAGAGTAAGATCGCGTTTTATTCTTATTGTTCCCTTGTTAGTATCTGTTCATACATTTACCCTTTTCAAATCTCTACTTTGTTCTAGGTGCTCTTGAAAGGGCAAATGTTGATCCGTCACTTGTTCAAGAGGTTTTCTTTGGAAATGTTCTCAGTGCAAATTTAGGTCAAGCCCCTGCTAGGCAGGCTGCTTTAGGTGCTGGAATACCTAATTCTGTTGTTTGCACGACTATTAACAAAGTATGCTCGTCGGGATTGAAAGGTTGGTTCTCTCTACTCAAATATTGGTGTCTTTAATTGTAGTGATCTAACATGCTTTCGTTTATCTCAGCAATAATGATTGCTGCACTTAGCATTACATCGGGTGTCAATGATGTTGTGGTGGCTGGCGGGATGGAAAGCATGTCTAATGCACCGAAATATTTAGCACAATCTAGGTTAGTCTTCTGATCAATCATTTAACTCCGTGCTAGTTACATGGATAATCTCTATGGGAGAAACATGGATAATTTTGTTAAACAAAGGAATAAGGCTGTTTGTTTTATGATAGAAGAAAACCAAAGTCATAAACATTTTTGTTTTCATTACAGAAAAGGGTCTCGGTTAGGACATGATACTATTATTGATGGCATGATTAAGGATGGACTATGGGATGTTTACAATGATT